TTTACATCCTTGAACATGTTAAGCATATTTCTCTGCAGCCCCTGCACCTCTGTTCCTACTGGTTCTTGCTCATGTTGCCATATTCTTCCTACAAGTGTAATTACTGTGCTAGACATAGTATTTGAAAATGTTTTATTGCAGTGGTGTTGTAGGCTAGGCTTCTGTCTGTGATGCCAGCTTCCTATATGGGTGCCAGTTACTGTTCCAGCTGCTCAACTTCCTACCCAGTTCCCTGTGTGTGGCCTAGGAAGGCACCAGAGGATGGCTCAAGTTCTTGGCCCCCTGCATCTGTGTGGGAGACATAGAAGAAATTCCCGGCTCCTGGCTTCAGATCACCCAGCTCCAGCCATTGCTGTCATTTGGACAGTGAACCAGCAAATGGGAGATTCTCTCTCCTTTCTAACTCTACCTTTCAAACAAAAATAAAATGATTTTTTTTGAGTAATTTGAAACTTGGGTTGCTATGACGTTTCTCCCGAGTACACTTGCTATTACTTTGGTTAGGCTCCTGGGGTACTAGCGATGTGGGATCCTTTCACTCTTTTTGCAGGGATTGAACTGTCCCAGCTACCTGGGTAACCAGAAATGGAATTCCTCCCTGTGCAACAAATGGTGTACTTCCTTTCTACTCGCTTGCCTTGGGTCATCATTTAAGTTCCCTAAAGGAAATACCAGGTTTCTGACACCACTTCCCTGCTGCCCCCAACACCTGCAGTGCTAGAGCCCAGCAGGTCCTTCCTACCTGTTCCACATAAGCTCAGATCGCTCAGCCTCTCCTCCTCTTCTACATTGCCAGTTGTACCCAGTCCCCAAATGCTGAATTCCTTTATCTCAGTCCGACAGTTGCCTACCATCTTAGCAATTCAAGTCCAGATGATGTGGTGCTTAGCTTTTTGTGACCTGCCATCAGCAGGCAGAACATCTGAGTGCCCTCCCTGGCCACAACTGCGCAGTCCAGGTTGGTGCCCTCATGCCTGCCTTTCGCTTCCTTAACGGTTGGCAAACAGACTTCAGAACTACGACCAGCACTTACAAAGCCTGCCGCTAGTCTCTGCTTAGTCTCTTGCTCACTGTGACTTATCTACTTTTGTCCTGCGTTTTGACTGTAGTTACCTGTTTCTGCCAGAAGACTAAAGGCCTCTTCTCACAGAGAGGACCTGCCAGGCTCCTACGGACACCACCAGTCAGCTGGCTACACTTCCAAATTCACTTCCTTGTCTGCAAGGAGATGGCAATGGGTGCTTGGGCTGGAGATGTCACTCTAGGCCCAAGTCTGTGGCTGGGCATGCCTGGGCCAAACTGAGCGCAGGCAAGAGAAGTGTTCCTGATGCAAGAGCGAGCAGGCAGCCTTCCGAAGGGAATCCAGGAACCCTGTGCAGGACCCCACATCCTTGTGAGGTGCACAAAGCATAAGTCAGCTATTACTTTTCTGCATGGCATTCAGCTACAAGCACTATTTTCTAAATTCTTGCCTTTCTGTCTTGACCTGCTTATTCTGTGATTTTTCTCTTAGTTCTTTGATGCCTTTGAGAAAATTTGGTCCCTGTTCCACCCCAGTGGTTCTAGATGTTTTGTTGAAAGGGTCGGGGCAAGAGCCCTAGGTTAGCACTTGAGGGGTCTTCAAAATGTCATGCAGAAATGGGATTAAAGGATTATGTACATTTTCCATGAACTTCTGAAGCCTACTGCCACATCTGTATACAGAGGTGGCTGAAGATATCAAAAAGCATGATGTGCACCACAAAGTTCACAAACATTTTTTCTGTACAGAATCGGGAGGACCCCCAAAACCAGAAGGGACCCAAAGCACCAAGTACATAGAATCCAGGTCTCTTTAAGGCACCACACCTGCTACCAGGAGGGAGTTCCCTGCATCACCTGCTGAACCTGCCATCAGCCCTCAGTGGTCTAACTGGGGAGGAAGCCTGTCAAGGAAATGAGGGCCAGAATCAGCCTCTCCAGGTCTACACACGAGTGAGTGAGGATGGCACGACAGGCCCTCACCACTGCGCTTCACCGCCTGTCACTGTGAGGCTGACGGCAAGGCTGCACTGGGCACTGGGCTGCAGTGATTCTGCTGGCTCATGCAGTCTCCCACACAGAAAGGGCAGGCTATTTAGAGCGCGCCGACTGAGATCATAAATACCATCAGCAGTTAGAGCAGTGTCAGTACAACTCCACAGGAAGAGAAGCCTGCATGAGGCCAGTGTGTAGTGGTGAGGTAAAAAGGGCTTTAGTTCTAGAGGCAGCCAAAGGATTTCATTGTAGGCAAGTTTACAATCTTAGGTGGTCCTGCCGCCTATGCTCTGAGGACGGCTTTACCGCAAGGTTCCCCGACACAGCTCATTTAGACTGGGAGCCAGACCACATTTTTCTCCCTGAGATTGTGAGGAATTGGTGGTATTTCAGTAAACTGCCCCTCTGTGAGTAGAATAACTTCACTTAGGCTTTCAGACTGAATACCTGCCTTACAGACATCATTTTACTTTTTCCTCCAAAATTGCGCAGGCTTTTCCAACTCAAACAATATTCATGACACGAGGTACACCAAGTGGTGTCTTCAAGTCCATGTCTTCTAAGCCACAGAGTGAGCAGCTTTTATCACTCACCGAAATAGGCAGTACACCCTAGTTTTGGAAAAGACTGGAGATTTCCACCAAGGCATGTCAATCCTCTCAATACTGCCTGTGGCCCATGTACCACCAAACAGCTGACTCTGCCCAGCTCCACCACCATACGGAGGACCCAGTGACTAAGGCCACATGGCAACTGGGTATTGCCTTGCAAGGCTGAGGGTTCACAGACCTGACCACTCAGCAATCCAACCCCAAGGCATTTGCCTCGACAGGGGCAGCAACTCTCAACGACACAGTCATGCGTCACTGAGCAACAAGGGACATGTTTTGGAGATGTATCATCAGGCAATTTTTTGTTATTTCATAGACAACATGGACAGCACTGACACACCCCAGGTGGCAGGAGCCCCTTGGTACAATCAGTGATGGCAGAAGCCAGAAGTGTGAGGCCGCAGCAATCTGCTCTACAGCTCACTGCTTTAAGCAGGCCACTCTAAAATCAATGATAACAAATAGAGAGTTGCAGCCACAGAAACAAGTGGCAGAGCTGTCCGTTAGCACAGTCCAGTGTCCTCCGCCGCTAGACCTGAGTGGGTGGCCATGTTTGTACGTGGCTGACTGCAGGCATGCCCACAGCAGCTGCACACAGGCGTGGATGGTGCAGAATGATCACCTGGCAGTGGCTGCGCCCCAAGGCAGCGGCACTTTCCCCTGCTTCACACGTGCAGCCCACTGCAAGCTGCAGTGTCTGGATGTGGTATGTGACTGCACCATCCTTGTACAGGTGGTTCAAGCGTCGCTGGGGGAACATGAAAGCAATACAAACTCTTATGATCAACCCCAAATCTATCCCATCAGAAACCCAATCTTAAACAAGGCCATTCAGTGAGAATGGTGTGGGCTGTGGTCTGAATGCATCTAAACGAATTCTCGGCCACGTGCCTGACTCAGGAATGTTTGGGTAGCCCCATTTGTCCTTTCTCACCACATTCATCCTCAACATGTGCCCTTGAAAAACAAATGCACACTATCAGGAGAATTAACTAAAACAACAAACTGTTAACAGAATGAAGCATTCAGTCTATACCAGTGAAAAGGAATGAAAAGCAGTTATCCTAACAGGTTCAGTAAAATTCAGAACCATAATTGTGACTGAAAAAAACCACAAAATCATGTGGCATAGTTTACAAAAATTAAAAAAAAAAGCAAAACTACGTATCATTCTATATGGGGCTGGCACTGCGCCATTGCAGGTTAAGCTGCTGCTTTTCAATACTGCCATCCCATATTGGAGTACCAGTTGGAATCCCAGCTACTCCACTTTCAATCCAGCTCCATGCTAACACACCCACGAAAGCAGCAGTGATGGCCCTAGTCCTTGGGCCCCTGCCACCTGTGTGGGAGAGCAGGCTGAGGCTCCAGGCTCCCAGCAGCAGCCTGGCCCAGCCCTCACAGCTGCAGCTACTTCAGTAGGTAATCCAAGGATGGAAGATTGATCTTCGCCCTCTCCCTCTACTCTCATCCAAATAAGTAAATAGGTAAGTCTTTGAAAAGGGCAACTTATGATCTAACAAAACATTTGTACAATAAAGCATTATAGGCTCTTTTTGAAAAGCAGCAGAGGACCCCTTTGTAGGAGGGGGTGGGGTGAGGAAAGCTGTCCTGGAAGCTGTTAACTACAGGTCAAGTTCACTCCCAGACAGAAAGGAGAAGGAGGGTGAGCGTGCAGCTCTTCTCTGCACTTGGGCTACTGGTATCACATGTTCTCTAGTATCTATCCAGTGTTACATAATAAATTATAAAACCCAACAAATAAAAAGCACAGCTAATAAAGAGAATCAACATTAACGTAGCAGAAAGTCAGGAAGTCACTTAAATGTTCTGAGTTGTGTAGACTGTAACACGCTCATTCAATTACAACAAACTTTTACAAGACATGAGACAATATGATAAAAGTAACAAGACAAAATAATGTAAAAAAAAAACCCATAAAATATGATGAAATGGTAAAAACTGACACTACATGCAGTTTTACTTCTTTTTGTCCACATTTTTTCTAAAGTAAAGGATAAACATTTTAAGAATTATTAAGGGATCTGAAACAATCGTTGAGATACTTAACAGCTCTAAATCACTAAAAGAAAAGTGTTGAGTCTTGTATTGGGAGCAAGGAAAAATGGTGTTTTGTGGCGGGTTGGCTTTGATTTGCTAGGGATATAATTCAAAGGCATCTATTTTATGCCATTAAAAACAACTATCTATTGCTGTCGTTTCATTTTGTCCATGACTCAGACAAGAAACTCAAATATGACAATGGAGCAGTGGCTGACTGGTCTCGCAGACACAGAGGAAGGCACGTTCCCAGCACCTGCCTCACTGAGTTGCTGCCGTGGGAGCAAGGCAGCAATGTAGACGCGCACCTACCTCTTTCTCCAATATCCTACTAATGTCACCCAGGGTCCGATCCAAAGCAGACACCTTATTGCTTGCCCAGGAGCCACTGTCTTGCACTTGCAGTTGTTTCAGAAGATCTTTGGCTAACCGCTGGAGTCTACAACACAAAAGAAACAGAGAGAATTGCCTGTGAGTCAGAGTGTAACACCAGGTACCCACGTTACTGCTGCCTGTGGGTGAGGGCGGGAGATCCAGGCAGTACATGAAGCCAGTATCCTGCACATCTCCAACCAGCACCAAACAGGGCTGCTCCAGGCTCAGTTTGGGCCTCTGCCCTGGCCATTAAATTATAATAGACTGAGGCAGGGGAGATGCTAAGAGGATGACAGTGGGGAAAATAGAAGAACTTGAATGATTTCTGCATTTTATCTAAATCCTCAAGATACTCTTGGCTGTGGTAAGCACTGTGGGAGCAAGGCTTGCACTGCACAACTGTGCATGCTGCTGTTCACCAGCAGGGTGACGTGTCCCCTGCACAACAGTGGAGCACCCCATGTGCTCCTCATTCACGCACCTCCTTCTCCTTCCCACCTGTGAATCTGACACTCACCAGACCCCTCGGCCCACCCCTAGCATCCATGGTACAGCCAGGCAATCTTCTCAGTGCCTGTGTGCAATATCTGGCTGGATTTATGAAGCAACTGCCAGCCTTTCCCATTTCTGAACCCACCAGTCACACCAAGCCAAAGGCTGGTGGGACCACTGGGACAGCATCTGGCTCCACTTCTTCTGCTCCACACAGACTGGCTTCCTATTTCCCCCACTCTCTCCAAAATGCCACCCTCCTCTTCATCTTGCTTTGCTAAAATGATCTTACATTTAACAAGAAAAACAGAAGCTACCAGAAAGAGACCTTCCAGCTACAGAAAGTATGTGTCCATCTGCATGCCCTGTCCCCCGTGCATGTACTATGGCAAGCCAGGGATGGTTTCTCCAAGGCAGGGCTGCTGTGTGAGGCGGCCCAGTGTCTTGAGCCCTTCCTTCCTCCCGCTTGGGACCTTTGTGAACACTCTTCACTGCTCCCTTCTGAATCGCTTTCCTCACCACATCACCTTTGAAATCCCTCGTTATCCCTTGGGCCTTTGCTTGGGACTCTGCACAAGGGGACACTGATGCGATGAGTTTAATGTGCACCTCTCCCAGGTGGAGCTTTTTTTGCAATGTAAGAAGTGTTTCTTATTTGTGCTGTTGCCACATGTGGCTCCTCAGGAAACAAATTTTAGACTGCACCTAATTTTTTTTCACTTGCAAAAATTTTTTTAAATAATCTTACATAGTTGATTAGGGCACAAAGGGTCAAGGGCTCAGGAAAGTGGGTAAGACCATTGTTTCCACACTAATATCATCATTTCCCCCACCTTGTACCTGGGGTCAGGGGAGAAACAAAGGGAAAAGCCCCATCCAGCTTCTCACCCATCCCAGGTCCCCAATGTGGGGCATGTTCCAAGGGTCCTGCTAAAGCAGTTTTGATAGTTCAAGAGGTCTGAATTGCTACCAATCTTCCCATTCCAATCACAATGAAATCTATTCAGAATCCACTGGCTGACACAGTCTCTTCATGGTTGGGGTTCTGAGATCAGCAGTTCAGTGGAGGGATCTCCAAAGAAACATCATCTGAGGTGATCTCAGACTGATTCTTGTGTGTGCTTGCCAGTACAGGGTCCAGCATGTCTGTTGACCCAATCTGCTTATGCACATGCTGGTTGTTGCAATTGCTGGGTCAGTTCTGTTTCCAGTCCTGTCTTCCACACAAACCAATGGGTGTTGCAGTCCAGCCCGATCCTGCCCACTTCATACTTGGCCCTCAGGCAAACCAGTGGGAGCTGCAACCTAGTTGGGATGACTCCCTGTAACTCCCACCAGGCCTGCCCCTACCCTAGTTCCCATGCATGCTAGTATGTACCGCAGACTTGTTCAGTCTGTCCCACATCCCATTTAGCTCTTATACATGTCAATGCCTAGTTAAAAGCAACCAAACTACTATTCAGCCCACACACATGCTGGCAGGTGCCTTTCTGTCTAGCCAACCCTGCCCCTGTTTTGGTTTTCTTGTTTTCCAGTGGGAGTGGTAACCAAGAGGAAGGTGCCCACTATTTCCCTAGTAGGTCGCTCCCACTCCTGGATTATGGACTCCCCAGGTGTTTCTGGGGTTTAACATGACAGATTTAGCCTCCAGTGCCAGCCTGTGCCAGCTAATGCTGTGGCAAAGCCCAACCAACCCTCACCCACTCTTATTTTTGCTTGCACTAGTCAGAACAGTCAGCCCAACCTAGCTTTTCCCTGATCTAGTTCATATGAGGCCCACAGGTATTGCAGCCCTGCCTGGTTTGGTCTGCCCCCATTCCAACTCACATTGTCCAGTGGGAGTGGTAGTCTAGCAGGGGAGCCCACATTCCCCCTGCTGGCTTTGCCCCCTCCCTCCCTGGTTCTCACGTGTACCCCCTTTCAGCTGTAGCTCAGCCCACCCCACATCCTATTTTAGGATGCACTCTCAGGTGCTGCTGCCTTGACCTGTCCAGACTGTTGTCGGTTCCTTTACCTGTAAATGATGGCAGGTTTCATGGTCACACCTAGCTCAGCCCATCAACACCTCAGCTTGTGAGCTAATCAGCAGGACTTGTATTTCCACAGGGCTGGGCCCACACTTCCTCCAAAGAATCTACCCCTGGACCTGGTTCTCTTGTGTGCTGGTTAGTACCTTGACCCTGCAAAGTGTGACCCGTCCACTGTTCCACCACTCAGTCAGGTATGGTAGGGCCAGACAGGCCCCCATCCATAGCTTTCTTGTGGACTGGTGTGTGGCAGTCAGTGATGCTCTATGCTAAAGCCCATCTCAGGATTCCCATTTGGGCTGGTGAATCAGTCTGGCCCAAACAGATCTTATGGACTCTCCCCTCCAAACCACCAAGTCTCAGTCCCCACACCTGTGAGACAGTTCCATGACCTCATTGTTGGGAATCACCCAGAATTCATCCCTCATCTATACTCAAACTGGCCTTATCCATGGGTGTCCCTAGGCAGCAATTACAGATTCTAAAAATCCCAAAGCTTGCCACTGACTGGCCAGCAAGCAGAGCCTTACAACCAATAGACGCACTTGCTGCCCAAATCCTAGGACTGGCAGTGACTTTGGCCTGCGTCCCCAGCATTGGGTCCAGACTGGCTGGGGCACCTCCCACAACTGCCACACTGCAGGGAGCTACATTTGCCCCAACCCCAAGGCCTCCCTCCCTCCCTCTCTCTTTTTCTGTCTCGGCCTTTCCAATGAAAAATGAATAAATCTTACTAAAACAAGGAAAGTTCCTGCGAGTTCTGGCAAAGTTAATAAAGTAAGAAAACCGTGTCCAATCGTAGCAGCATTGTGATGCTGTGACCAGGTATTGCCCACTGGCTGTAAAGAACAAACCTACGTGAAAATGGCACACGTGCTACAGGACCGAAGGACACTGTTGTGAGGAACCCTAATACCTCAGCAACACAACAGGAATCCAACAGGAAGAAAATGCCCTGAAACTACATCGCAGCTACAGTGGCCTGAACATCTGTACCCGCAAACTCACGCAGTTCTTTATATCTTGAATGTCCCATGAGGGTGAGAACATACTTGAACTATGTTGTTGAGAGGTGGGTTTGTGAGAATAGCTTAGATTAGGCCATTTGGGAGGAGTCCCAGGAGTCCCACAGAATCCTGATGGTATTATGAACTGAGAGGAAGACAGGACCTGATGGGCAGACAACACATGCCCCACCCCCTCCTACTCCCGGTGTGCTGCAGTTCAGCGGCTTCATGCAATGCTGTTTGGATCTTGTACACCTCCAGAACCAGGAGCCAAAATAAATCTTTCTACTTCATAAAGCAGCCTGTCCTTGGTGCTCCTTTACAGCAATGAAAAATGGACTAATGCCAACTGCATCAGCACTGGAGCCTGAATTAATTCCAGGGAGAAAGCTGAGTGGCGAAATATGGTCTTTACAACTAAATTTTAAAACTGAAACAGTCAAGAAATTGCTGAATTTAATTATGTCGTTAGTTAAAAACAGAGGCCTGATATGGAAATTATATCTGATTTTTAACTAGTGCATTTGAATTTGAATAAGCAGCTTCAAGAATTTAAGAACTGTAATTTTTCCAAAAAATATCTTCATGCAGGGTTGGAGGGAGAACTGTCCTGACTGTTGGTGGAATTGCAAGTGTGCACAGAACAATTCTGCAAGGTTCTATCAAAATCATAACAAACATAGGAAGGTGCCTCAAAACAATCTGCAGAAAATGGAATTAAAGACAAATTGATTTTGGCACCGAAAAACACTTAAAATCCATGCTGTTTTTTTTTTTCTTAACATGCATTTTGCATCAATATTTTGAAAACCACTTATACGTTTTGGTCTCTGTAAAATGGCACCCTTAAGAAATGAATATTTTCATTCTATTACAATAAGTTTTGCAGTTTTACACATTTTTGAATGTTATTAACTACTAGGGATTTTTAGTTAGCTATTGAATATGCATAGTGTTTACATTAGGAAGACTGTGCTTACATTAAGAAGACTTGTATTAAAAAGGAAACCAGAGTTGCAGTAAATTCCAGCACTGCATAAATAATAAGGCATTTTATTTTTCAAAAATTGCCCTACATATGTTTCATCAATTTGCTACTGAAAGAATATATTGTTTTTAACCAGTGTGCAATGATGAGTCACAGTGCTAAAGTTGGGACTAAGGCTTCAATTGCTTGAAGACCATAAACGTGACATTCTTGATTGCATTCATTCTAGCTGAGAACATCTACCATTGCAAAGCTAACACGAAAGTACTAGTAAGAAGGAATTCCCCTCTTTCAAGTTACACCTTGACCGTGTCATTTGAATATCCAGCCACTATATTTTTTAATGCCGGCACTGAAATTGTTTAGTAGCTGCAGTCTGACCTAGTTATTGCACAGAGGGCATGGGATACCAGCATAGCCTTTACAGAGTTCTACGGCTAAAAGATTCAGCAGAGCTTCCCCTACAACAGTCTTAGGGAAAACATGTCAGTATTATTCCCTATCTCAGTGCTTTGATTCAACAAATAAAATGTTTTCATTTTAACAAAGCTCTCAGAATTTACTCATTTCTAAACATTGATATACTGAGTACTGACTGCTCATAGATTAACAGACCACCATTCCCAAGATCTCACCATTGCAATCTGTCACCTTATCTATTCTATGAGCTGACAGCCATTGGCTAAGATGTAAACCAACTATTCACATCTTCAAGACAGTTGTCAACACTGTTCTCTGTTAGAGGTCTCGGTAGAGCTATTAAAGCATAATTTGTATTGTTCCTCCGGATCATAAACAGGACACTGTAGGGAGCTTCCGTACCACTGCTATTTCCTCTGGAATGTCAAGGTCTGAGACAGAGTTTCGATTTTGAGTATTTTAGTATTTTTTATAAGGCCTGCTTTTACTTTATGGTGTAGTTAGTGGAAATGGAAAAAAACGGCAATACAGATCTATGTAGTATATAAGCAAATATATTACATGTAAAAATACATCTTATTATATGTAAGTTTTATCTCAACATGAAAGGATAAACACTGGGCTCTATTTAGTAACAAGCAGAGAATCGTGCTAATGACTGCAATCTCCTTTGAGGTTCTGCTGGACTGGTCAAGGCAGGCAGAGCTGGAGGCCAGTGTAGTTACAGAGCCTCTGTGGTGGGAAGTTTATCACACTTTCCTGCATCAAACCACAGAAGTATCTGTATCAGGACACAGACTACTTCGTGTCAAATGCACAGCAGCAGACTTTTTCATACATGAGGAATCACTTCAGTACTGACTGTAGCAAGCAAGAAAGAAAATCCCTAAATCTATAGCCAGAAATCACTGAATATGTACATTTAAAATCAATCAAAACTAACACAGAGAAAAAAAATTCTTAGAAAGTACTTTACAATTATTTATCTTGTATGGAAATTAAAAACCTACTGTGTGGAATTCAGCGAAAACAACAACAAAACCGCAAGTATAAGACACAGGAAATAAATAATGAAACAGAAAGAAAGGAAAGCAAGCAGCCATCCCAGAGAGCTGATTTCCCATGTTGTTTTCGCCAGTTTTTCAACAGATCCTCTTGGGCTGTTAGTCACAGGGTCATCATCTTGATCATTCTGCCACTTCCTTTAGTATCTTCTATATTTCTTTCTTTCAGCACTGTGATGTTTTCCAAAAGTGCTGGCGAGGATGCGGGGAAAAGGGAACCCTACTCCACTGCTGGTGGAGCTGCAAATTGGTACAGCCTTTATGGAAATCAGTCTGGAGAACACTCAAACAACTCAAAATCTGCATACCATATGACCCAGCAATAGCACTCCTAGGAATATATCCAAAACACCTGTTTCACGACAAACCAACATGCATCCCTATGTTCATTGCAGCACAATCAGTAATTGCGAAAACATGGAAGCAACCGAAATGCCCATCAGCAGAAGATTGGATAAGAAAGCTTTGGTTCATCTACTCCATGGAATACTACTCAGCTATTAAAAAAAACAAAATGCAGTTCTTTGTGGCTAAATGGGCACAACTGGAAACTATAATGCTAAGGGAAATGAGCGAATCCCAAAAGATTAGATACCACATGTTTGCCTTGATTTAACCTGTAATTTTTTGTTTGGTTGTTTGTTATTTTTTGAACCTGTCATTGATACTGTCTCAACCCAGATGTTTCGAAGAATGGAACTTGCATTATTTTTAACATATTGTTTACCCAATACTATGTCAATTAATTCCATAATGTTGTATAATGATACTGAGGCCTTGTTGGGGCTTTTAACTGACTGGATCTTTACTCTGTTAGACCTATCTTCAGACCATAGAAGGTCTCCCCAAGAGGCCACTGAACTTATCTGGACAATAAGACGCTGAACTTTATGCTAGGCATGTGTTTGCAAGCAATGAATCTCAACTGAACTTGAACTATGGTTATGCAACAAGGTGGAGGAATCCACCATGGGGGGAGAGGTATGGGAGGGGTGGGGGGGATCCCCAGCGCCTATAAAACTGTACTACATAATATAATGTAAGCAACAATAAAAAAAAAAAAGTAGTTGTGGTTATCTTAATTCTGACTGGCAAGAATATTTCTACCGTACATGTCAACAGGGGCTACATTATCAACCTGTAGTACACCCCCACTACCAACTGGTTATAGAAATTATGAGGACAGAGTCAGCCACATACAGCAACCTCCAGGCACATACCACAGCACTCCTCCACGCAGTGGAAGCTTTGAGAACTCCTGAACTGAGCATGAACCGGCTTTCTGGCAAAACCACACTCTGCTGCACCCCTGCTCAGCAGGCACGCTCACCTGTGAACACCACTCTCACTGCACTGTCAGCAGGTTTCAAAGAAGCGAAACACTGATTTCGGTTTATTTAGCTGTTGCTTTAATTCGTCTTACATCCAGCTGGTGGCGTCCCAAGTCTCAACCTAACACCTCTCAACTTCATCTGACATCTCATCAGATTTAGACAGCTAAGCTTCTCTGAGAACTTGCCTTGGGAACCCTCCTTAAAGAGAGCTGCCTGGAGCAAGGCAGCAGCACGGAACGCCTCCGTTTCAGCACAGCTGACACTGTGCATACTGAACACGTTTAACTGAACCCCTGGCCTCCCCAGCCTGGTGCTGGTGGAACCTTCTCTTCAGGCTGTGTTGGAAGAGAACAGGCTCAGCCAGGGCCAGACACTGTCCCCTGTGGCTAGATACCACTGTGTTAAGAGAGCGATTCCCTCTGGATCAGAGTCCCCAGATACACTTTGCCTACACACTGAGTCCTAAGGAGAGAACAACAGCAATGGGGACAGAATACTCACTTTGCTTTATAAGGTGAATCAGAACCACAGTTTTTGGTTTCCATTAAACTCTCATATTCCTTGGCCCTGAAAAGAAAACAATTAAATCACAGTTAGCTAGTATGGAACTTTTTTTTTTTACAGCATAAAATCATGCTGTCAAAGTGACAAATCAGTAACATTAAAATATTAACTCTTTGATTTCTAAAAGTTCTTTAAAATTACAAAAAGATGCCAACATGAAAGACAGAAAAAAACACATTTTTATTAACAGGATACAGATCAAACTCACAAAAACATGTCCTGAGTTTATAGGCGTGGCTCATGATCAAATAAATTTTAAAATAATGGTCATTGAATCTGAAAGTCTTTTGAATTTCTATCACGCGTGTGGCTGACTACGTATATAGCTCCAGGGGTAGACAACACAAAAACAAACACAGGTAAACAAAATAAGCATATCATTTAGCCTCAACACAGTCATTTAGCCTCAAGAGTAATGTAAGAAACCAGGAATTACCTGTCCAGATTTTCAGAGACTTGTTTTTAGTTGTTTATATTGATTAAATATAACTGTTGTCTATTCAGAAGTGGCGCAGCCAGGACTCAAACCAGACACTGTGAGAAGGGATGTAGCCATTCCGCCAAGCAAGGACTCTTGACTTGTACATCATATTGTTCACTTTCAAATTTTTCACTTATCATTTTTTTACCCCAAGCTGCCTGTTTGTTCCATCTTTTCAAATTCCTATCTCTCTGCTGATATTCTCTAATTAGCTAGACAGCCTCGAAATTTTCTTGACTTTTTCATATATGGTTTCCTTTGGTATTTCAGCATAGTTTTAAAAGTTGATGTAAAGTCTTCATCTAGTAAGTACAACAGGTGGGTTTTCCTAGGGATGGCTTCATTTCTTCTTGGCATGTGGGCCATAGTCTTTTTCTTTGCAGGCCTCACAATTTAGTAGACTACCAGCAATGAGGCAGTTCTGAGTATCAGGTCCTCTTACCCCTCAGGTTTTGCCTGCCCTGCTGTCATGGCTGTGTACTTTTCAATGTTAAAAAAGACTTTTTTAGTATAGATAGTACCAAGTCAGTAGGGTGTATTACCTGGGAACTTGCAGCTATCTAGTTCAAGTTCAGCCAGCGTCCACCTGAAGGATGAATATGTGACCTATTTTACGCACTGACTCAAGGTCTCAGTGATGACCAGGCCCTGCTTCTTTGCCTTTCAAGAGTAAATCTGAAATTCCACTCTCAACTGACAGTTTTAAGGGAAATGGCGAATCTTCACATATCCTGTTATCTCTCAAAGGAGACGGAAATCATACTGTGCAACATCTCTGGGAAGTAAGCTACTGAGAACACTGAACAAACTGAAGGAGCCAGTATGGGCAGGGTTGGACTTTCTACAGGGCACACCAAGTATAAATGCATGCAAGGACAAATTTATTAAAGGCACAGAGAGCAGCAATAGATACAGAAAATCACTGATTGCATGAACACGGTACTCTACTAAAGACTAATCGAAGGCCATGGGCTACCTAGAAGAGGCTTCATTCCCTGAACTCTGTCCTTTTTAAAGTCCCTTTCTCCTCTGATTTGCATGGAGTCAATTCTCCATTGCCATCAGTACGCTTTGAGAAACATGGACATCTCTGAGAGGCCAGGGGACACAGGAAGGGAGCGTCCCTCCTCTGGCTCACAGCCCAAATGCAAGAAGTGGCAAAGGTTGGGCCACGGGCAGCAGCCGGCTACCAGGTTTCTGACTCCCACCTGGGTGGCAGAAACACACTCCGCTGGCCACAGACTGCCTTAGCAAAAGGCTGGCCGTCAGGAGCCGGGCGAGGCACTGAACCCAGACACTCTGGGTACGGTGCTGGTGTATGGTTATCATTACCCCTCACTTCACCATCACAATAACGAATGTTAAATATGCAACTTGAGCTTCCAGTCAAATTTAAACTCCCTGATCTTTGCATCTTTAAACTTAAATTCACTCTTAGCATTGTGCTCACTCACTATGTTTGTTAAAAGCACTCTGGACTGACATGACCAAATTACATTTGATTATCCAGTTTTTCTCAATCAACATATCATCAAAAATAATCAAATGCATCAATCATGACTGTTTTCCTTATAATTTCTTCCAGAGTACCCTGTAATACGAATAAATTCACTTTATGCCTGCATTAGTAATATAACATAGTTTTTCTCATCCCTTTTTTTTTTAAAGTTTCAAAGTTTGTCCTTAAAAACATTGATTAAATAAAAACCATAGAAGCTAGCATTGTGGCATAGCCAGTTAAGCTACCACCTCCAATGCCAGCATTCTGTGTGTGTCCTAATCCAATCTAGCTCCCTACTAACGCACCTGGAAAAGCAGAAGAGGAAGGCCCAAGAGCTTGGGCTCCTGCATCAAGTTGGAGACATGGAAGAAGCTCCTGGCACCTGGCTTTGGCCTGGCCGTTGTGGCCATCTGAGCAGTGAACAAATCTTTAAGGGTAGGGGGGAACCTATACATATTTATGTGGGATAGTGCAAGACTTCAATACATCTGTGGGATAAATCAGGGTGATTAATGCTTCCCTCTTTCTGTCATGACTTCATCATTGGAAGCTGGCTGCTCCTTTCTGTTAGTTGCTCAGAAAATACCTAGTAGGTGTGTCTTCTGCTCAGCCTTCCTCCAGCCAGCCTCTACTAGTCCAGGATCAGACTGGACTGTCTGTTTTAATTAATTAATTTTATGACACAGTTCCATAGGTTTTGGGATTTCCCTTCTCCCCTACAACCTTCTTCCCCTAGTGATTCCCCCTATGTTATTGCAATAATACAGTCCTTTGAAAACAGTCATAAGTCCTCAGGTTGGATTTTTTTTACGCAGTTACATGAGTAAGAACATGTAGGATTTGTCTTTCTGTGTCTGGCTTATTTTTACTTAATGCTGCACAGGACAAGGTTTCTTTATTTTTTATGGCCAAATACTACTCCACTGCATGTGTAGACCATGTTTTCTTGATTCATGCATCTGTTGAGACACCTTCAGTGAGTCCTGGCTACTGTACATAATGGTGCAATCACCATGGCAAGTAGGGATCTCTAAAAGAATGCCATTTCTTTTGCACATATAGGCAGTAGTGGCACTGCTGGATCCCAGGGCAGATTGCTTTCTCAGTTTATGAGAAATCTACACACTATTTTCCAGAGTAGCTGCTCTGATTTCTATTCCCACCAACACTGTGGAGACTTTCCATGTCTCCAACCCTTGTCAGCTACTGTTACTGTTTGCCTCTTTGGTAACAGCCATTCTAATTCCCACCAGGTAACAGTCACTGTGGTTTTAATGTGTATTTCTTCACTTCCTCCTGATATGGACCATCTTCTCACGCATCTTCTGTCCATTTGTGTGTCTTCATTTAAGAAGGATCTATTCAGATCCTTTGTGCAGTTTTCTTTAAATGCTCTGGTTGTTTTTTGTTGTTGATTTCGAGTTATACAATATTTTGGATTTTAATCCTTCAGGATGAACAGCTTCCGTCCTGTTGCTTGTCCTTCACTCTTGCTGCTGCTTCATTCGCTGTGCCCAAGTTTCTTAACTTGATTTAATCCTCTCCTCTCTCTCTCTCGTTTTGCTTTTGTTGCTTGTGATTTTGGGGATCTCATCAAAAAAAAAAAAAGGAAAAAAATGATTGCCTACACCAAAGTCTTGAAGTCTTTTTCACATATTTTCTTCCAGTAATGGCACAGTTTTGGATCTTCCATGCAGGTTTTTTAAATCCATCCTGATTTTTGTGTGTGTACGTATGTGTGTCCAGTTTTGCTGATAACACTTCTTAAAGAGATTGTCTATTTCCCAACACCTTCTCCAGCACCTTTGTAAAATCTGATTGCCTGTAGGTGTATGAACTAATTCCTGAGTTCTTTATTCTGTTCCACTGATCTGAATATTGGCTTATGGAATTAACAAACTATATATTATTCTTTATAGTTAGGTGTTGTGATGTCTCTGATTTTGTGTATTTATCTTTGCTCAGGATTATTTTGATTATTCTAGGGTTTTGTGGTTCTAAATGAGTTTTAAGATTTTTTTTTAATTTCTAAAAGAACATCATTGGTATTTTGGTTAAGGTTGCACTGATTCTGTGGACTGCTGTGGGTAATATGGACATTTTAGCAATATTAATTCTTCCATCCAGGGACATGGAGTATCATTCTGCTGCTTGCTTCCTTTCTCATTCATATCATCAATGTCTTCAATTTACCTGCAGAAATATTTCACTTCTTTGGTTAAATGTGTCCCTAAACTTAATATTTAGTAGCCAGGATTGCTTTCCCTTTCAGCAAGATCAGAACTGGTATATTAAAAACACTGCTTTACCCATGCCAATTTTGTACCTTGCAAATTTATTGGATTTATTAGTTCTAATAGCTTTTTGGCAAAGTAGTCAGATTTTTATTAATTTGCTGTTTGACATGCTATGGGATGCAATTCACTCATGTTTTCTTGAAATTTCCTGCATGTTAATAGAGGATACTGGGGTGCTTCTTCTGCAATGTATCCTTGGTTTTAGTATCAAAGTGATGCTGGCCTCACAGAGCAAGTCTGGCAGAGTGTCACCCTTCTTAGGCCTTTGGAATTTGTTTTGCATACTTCAGCTGAGGGGCTATCAGGTCCTGACTTTAATGGAAGCCTTTTAATTATTGCTTTAATTCTTACTACATTTAATAATATGTTGAGATTTTCTGTGTCATCTTGAGTTAATCCGGGTAAATTATGTGTCCAGGAGTTTATTCATTTCTTCAAGGTTTTCCAATTTGCTAGTATACAGCAGGTCTATCGTATCATTTATAACGTCTCCTCTTTCATCTCTAGTTTTTTTCCTTTGGTTTGACTGGCTAATAGTCTATTTTGTTTTATATTTCTTTTCAAAAGACACATTTTTTTTCTTATATTTTGATCATTTCATTTATTTCTGTTCTAATCCTTATCATTTCTTGTCTCAATTTTGGGTTTTATCTTTGCTTTAGTATGTTGCTGAGCTGCTGCCTAGAATCTTTGCATGTTTTTAAAATAAGCACTTACTGCTATA